TCCAAACCATTTGGTGAACATGGAAAATTATTGTCTGTTGATGGTGCTTCAAGAACGTTCTGCGAATAAGAAATATCCCCATTTGGATTTTCAATTTCTGGCTGATTTTCACAGTGACCTATATGATACAAACAGAAAAGCTAATATAAGTTTCACGCCGATTTGAATTTTTGTGGATAAACATGTCACATTAAGCGATTGAAATGTTTTTTCCAAAAGTTTTTATTTCGTTAATAGATTACTGTCAACACTTTACCAACTGGATAATAATTTAGCAAGTGAGAATGACAATAACAAGTAGATATCCAATATATCTTTTTTTTTGATATCAATAGTGATTCACCAAAATCAGCAATGTTAGACAACATCAACCAATAATGTTAGAACCAAATGACAACAATAAGGTCTAAGGACTTCTAACGTTTTATAAAAATTTGTGTAGAGGCTTTTATACATCGCTCACTTAAAAGAATTTACAAATATTACTAACCTCTCAAAGGGGCAAGGCCTTTTACAAAGGAGCAGAATTTCCTTTCTTGTGATCTTATGTAATTGCAACGGTTGCACGATTTCACGCCGTTTTCCCCTCCAAAACATTTTTTTTTATCTTTTTTACAATCCTCACAGGATTGTTTAGCTCTTTTTACTTTTGTATACATTATTATACCTTCCACTAACAACTTATGAGCTGAAGGACAAAACTGATGGTTTACTGAGGAAATAACAAAGCTTGTGAGATTATGATGTAGTAGTGGTGATATTGTACATACAATAATACATTCATTATATACCTTCCCTAACAAGTTCCAAGTTGAAAGATAAACTGATAATTCTCTGAAGAAACAAAAAAAACTTTATAAGACTACAATATAGCAATGATGATTTATAAGAATCTTGTTTTATAATACTTACAATCAACACTCCTTAAACGAACCTCTACAGCGAGCTCCGAGCCCTAAAAATTTAAAACTTAACGTTAGTTTATGGTGTTAAACGAAATTCATAGTTTTTAAAGCTTAATATGAGGGGTTTCTCTTTCAACAATTAAATGCATAATGTAAAACATTATAGAACTTGTCAAAGATAGCTAAATTATCAAAAATGGGTTCAAACGAGACTATTTCGGTCTATTTAAAATTAGTTAATCCATTGTAGTTTAAACAAGAAAGACTAGTCAATATGTTGTAGTTTAAACAAGAACGAAATAATTTCGACAAGTATATTAATAAATGGCTCGTTTCAAAAGGCTATTTTTTTTGTCCAAAATTTATTTTCTTCAAAACAATAATTTATTATTTACCCTCTTTTTTTTCACAAAAAAAAAAAAAAGCTGCTAAAAGGATCTTTCAAGATTTAAAATGCTTATATTTACGTAGAATATATTAGATAATTGTTATTTAATTACATTGCATATACAAAGAATTATGTAGATTTTATTGATAAGCGCATGCAAATATACATAAGGTTAATTAATTTTATCTTAATTTGGTAAAAATTTACTAGTAACCGGTTTTACTTTTGATGAATTCAAAAAGTTATGAATTTTTCTCAACATTAAATGCTAGAAAAATGCTAGAATACACAAAACAATTTTTAACTACTAGTATATTAAACCGTCTTAAATAACGTTGATATAAAACTTATAAAAACATTCGATTGTTATTAAGGTTGGATATTTTTGTAAGTCATATATAACTTACAATAACTGGGCATAGTATAAATTAAATTAAATTTTAAACCAAAATATACAGAAAGTATAATTTATATAGTAAATATGTAGCAAATATATAGTAAAAATTTACTGTATGTATAGTACTACACATTTATTTTAATTATAGGACGTTATTCGATGAGATTGGCCGCGCTAAAATCAGATCTGCATGAATGCTACACGCGTATAAATAGATATAAGTTGATATATTTAACGGAGATATATATTAATTTTAAATTATACAATAACAATAATCTTGACATAAAAAATGAGATTTTTGATGCTATAAAATAGTCTGTCTTTATTAAAGATAATACAGAAGGCGTACATGTGAAAGGAGCGAGTTAAGATTTATTGAAACAAGCGATTAATTGTCCAAAGAAGTCGGTCAAACGTCACACAATTTTAGTTTTTAGAATTTTCGAGCCATTCATTATAGTAATTCTGTTCGTATGGGCGCATTAAGCTGATTATGCGATAACATTTCTATCATTTCTATCGTAATTAAGTACAACTTGGTCATAAGCGCATAAATTTACTGTAAAGGGTATGATCATAAAGGCAATATATATGGTTCAAAACGAAAGATATTACACGACTGTATGTTATATTGTAGCTAGGTAAATTCTCAAGTGCATATACACTTGGCATTTATGTAAGGAAATCTAGGTTTTAAAATCATCTAATTTATTTAATAGAGATCCTGTAGCTCGTAAACGTGCAATGGGTAATGAAACAATGAATCTCCAAGTATGTTTGAATGCTTATCACTGTCTAGCGAACACTTAAATAACACGTGCAATGGTAACACATGTAACGTTATACATGTTATATGTAGCCATTATTGCGTATTGCTATTATCTTGTCATGGGATGTATTTTTCTTTGTATTGGAAAGAGTTATTTGTTAGCAGGTTAGTGCATTCAACGAGTATTTACGCCCACGTTATATTTGATCGATTGCGGTACGTACGTATGTGTGTTACAAATCAACGAATCATTGGACCAAAAAAACCCATGCTTGTAGTAAACTGGCATAACTAGAATAATATATGGCTATTCACAAAAGCTAGAAACGTACCCAACATACATTTTTCGTTTCATCCTGCTTTGCTGGTTCCAATAATTACATAATCTTGGTATTTTTCTAGACATAATATGTATTGTATCCAAATATATATACAACTTTCGCGATATGTATAATGTTAATCAAATTTTTACTTTTAGAAACTTAGTGTGTTAGATTCAGGATTAATTTTTAATCTTAAACAATTTTAACACGAAAGTATAGATGCATTTTGTATCTAATTGGGAATGTAGGCTTATCTGAGATTAGGCCTGTGCACGCTGCAGTGATCGATTACGTAATATTTTCAATTCGAATCATCGAAGTATTTTCATTAGGTCTTGTTTAAGAAGAACGAGCTTTCACCCTCTTCTATCTAATCTCCAGGTACTGCTGGTTACGAAGATTATATTTTAGTTTATTGCGATGGAAAGTTAGTGGGTCCGAATAAAAGCTATGATTCACATGTAGTACAAATCTCGGTTCCATTCATTAATGATCAAAAGAGTAATTAATTATCATTTAAGGAAAACGAAACTCCGGCAAGATCATCTGATTTTTCGTCCCACCCTTGACATTTATTATGATAAATAAATTAACTTAGCATTTAATGTGAAATTCTCAAAGTAATACGTAATCAATAACGAGAATAGTACAAAAGCGGAGAAGCAATAAATCCATAATTATTCCTTAAAGAGAAAAAAGTGTTGATCATCTGTTCATTATTACCAATACAACATTGAATGGGTACTACACATAATGCGTCATTGTTATTTTGTTTGTGGCTGACAATGATGTGACTCCCAGAGGATCACAGGAATCTAAAATGTTTACAATAACGATAAAAGCTTCAGTTAATAAAGGAAATGAGTTCCGAAAACTTCCGATGTATATATAATTTAGTAATACAATATATTTCTCAATTATCATAATAATGTTATAGTTATGTTCTATCCGATTAAAACGTTATAGTGATCATTCAGAGTCACAGTTGGTTCTACTAACCTGTAGGAAAGTTTGCGTTGCTTCCAAACCACTCAATGGATGTCCAAATGAAGCTGTAAATAATTACACACAAAGGGTGTTCGATTAAAGGAGTTTTGTAATCGTTTCGGATGAAATCATAATATTAAATAGTATCACAAAAAATTGTGGCAAGATAGTTATTTACAAATGAAGAATTGACAGATAAAGATTACAACTTAAATAGTTACAAAATAACCAAAATAGATTCTACTGCAACTTTAGTGAAAGAATAATGTGAATTATCTCAATTGTTTGAAAAACGTGTTTCATACATACGTTTTATTTTAATTTTTATTTTGAATCTTTGAGTATATGTGACTCCATTAATTAAATATATTATTAATCAATTGATTCCCAGAATAGTATCAGTTATACTAAAAGAGATCTTTCATTTTAGTTTTTATAATTGTAATTTTGTTTTATGAATTTTGCTGAACCAGTATGCCGGCTGATGCAAGTTAATTTATCAAAAACTACAACATTCAACTGTTCAATAAGCTTGGGGCAACCAATAATCATCCAATATCGATTAAAAAAAAGATATGATTTTTTTTTTCTGACAGGAATAAAATTTTAGTAATATCTGAGTTCAAGATTTATACAATATTAGTCGAATTTTATTTTAATTCGGAAATTAACCATTTTTCGGAATGACGAGTTAGAAAATTTTTGAATTAACTATATGGATAGTTGACCAAATTTATTAGTACAGAGATACTATTCGGGTCATTTGTCGCGATTTGTAAAATGATATATCTTTAGATATTGTAGATTGCAGTCATATTGCATACTCCTAACTTATATGCGGTGGTGAACCATATTCCTGGCTTGAAAATAATTATACATTATCTAGGGGTTTATAAAATAAAAATGCATTGTGTATGAAATAAGTAACAGCAATAGTAAGTAAATAAATAAATAAAAATAAAATAGGCAAGAATTAAAAATAAATTATACATTTACACCTTACATAATGCAAATGTCACTATCAGCTGCCGGGGGATATCCGTACATGCAATAATCGATCATCATCCCTAACTAGAGACGGGCATCACGCACCTTACAGTGCATGGTGCTTAATCGTCACATATTATAACGTATATAAACATTGGTATCCGACATGATTTTTATAATATTTATCATGTAATAATTAAGCACCATTCAATGATAAGGTGCATGATGCCCATCTTTATCTCTAACCCTATCAGTACAAAAAATTAAGGGTAGCTGCACGACGCAGTTGCGCTAGAACCAGGAACGTGGTATGATCGTACTTATATATAATTGCATGATTAGTTATTAGTTAGCGCTTAGAAATAATCGTCAGCGCTTGGTATTGTGCTGAATTACTTTTCTTGGAAATTTGATTGAATTAATATTTATTTCTGGTAATTGATTTTCTTCAGGTTAGCTTTTTTTGGGTCGTCTAAAGCGGAGGCAAATTCACGTGACCACGGCCAATCAAATTATAGAAATTTGATGATCACCGATGAAGCAAAACAAGAAAACCCCCCAAAATACAATGAACAGCAGTCTAAACCTACCTCAGGTAGGTTTGTGAGAATAACGCAAATTTCTGTAATTATCAAATATCATTAATCATTTCCAAATGCAGCGATTACCAGATGATGCTAACATAGCTAAGCAAGAATATCCGGAAGCAATCAGGTTAGGCGAAGAAGTGCAACCATAATGATTTACAAATTGCATAATTTTCATTCTTGATATCTTTATAAGTAGTACCCCTAACTACATCAAAAAGGCTAATCCTAACCAAACCTGGCTTTGACGTTTCTCCTAGGCAATGACCTAGCGAGAACATGATCAACAGCGATTCCAATTATATTACAAGATCAGGTTAAGATCAGGTGTAACGTGAAATCAAAAAAAAACTGCCCTAACTCGATATTTCGTCTATGTAACCATCTTCTGCGCATTAATAAAAAAAATTCCTTGCAAACTTTTAGTGTAAAACAAGTATCTTTATAATTATAAATCTTACCCTAATGTACCGTTTTATGACTTTAAATAAAATGTCGATCAGTGAAAGTCTGTCGGTGCCACTGGGGTAGTTGGTAGATACTGACACCATCAAACCGGCGTCGGCGTTTCGGTCGCTTCTCACACGGATACGTCGTGTAACCTACGAACGGCTTAGTCGATAAGAGGCGGTTAGATTTGGCGAGTGGTATGTTTATGATCGTAGGTTTTACAAGGTAGCGAAGGTCAGGGAATTATGAGGGTCAAACTTCATTACAAGCACGAACTCTGCATACTTTCTTCGGAGGGCTCAAAGCCTTTATTATATACTTTCATTTACATATAACACGTTATACCCTTTATTCGTGATATGCCGCTTATACTACTTATAACGTTTATGTTAATTATACTGAGGATAATATTTATAACAATTATTTTAATTATACTCTTGGTCTCGCTAATCCCCATTATCCCACTGATATCAATTATCAATCCGATACTTAGTATACAGCGGATACAGTGTATACTGCCGGTAAACACATTTAAGGTATATAATCTACATAGCCGAGAGAGCGTGACTTAGGGTCATACGGCGACGCGAAATCTATGGACAGTTCTTAGGGACAGTGCGAGATCATGTGTATTTCGAATGATATAGATCACGTGTTTTCATACGATTTATATATTTAATATAATATAAAGATCCGATATAAAAAAATGTAATAAAATATCTGATTATGAATCACGGTAATTTATTTTTGAATAAGACATACACCAAGTTTTAAACATTAATTACACAGATTGATTTTACCGATAGATATATTAACTTAGAATGGAAAAATTAAATGATTCAAGAATCGTGATTAGCATCCAGAAACTGAATATCATTCTTGTAATTTTGAAACCTGCAGTATTACCAATACATACGTTAAAACTAACATTACCAAAAAGCAATTAATTATAATATAGTCACGAAATCTGTTAATTGTGTTTATTATTAAACTGTAGAAGAAATTAAGGAAAGCAGTTAGTTTGGTTTCATAAATAAAGGACATATTAAGACTTACTAGTTTGCTTATGAATATTTCCAAGGTTTTATATTCAATGGTGCCTAGCTATAAAAAAAAAATCAATTGTATAAAAGAATAGAATTCGTAAAAATTATAAATAAAAAAATCAAATCGCCACTAGTAATATTGTGTTTGAATAAACTACTTCGTGCTAAGTAAAATACAACTGTTTAATTCCTTTATATAAAATAATCATTATAAAAAAAATAAATAAAACTCATCATTTCATTATGTCACAATCACAACCACAAATTCCAGAAGTTGGCGATGAGTTTCCAATAGCAGAAAACTTCAAGGAAATGGCACAACAAGGTGCTAAGACAGCGGGTTTTGCCTTTAGTGTTCATCATCAAAAATATCAGGTGGTGGAAAAGGTGACCACATTCCTTTCATAACTTTGCAATGTACAATGGGAGGTACCTACAGAAATAACCATAAAATTAATGAAGAGACCCGAAAAAGAAAAAAACTTTCAAAGCATCAAAACTGTCCTGTTGTTTTATGAGCTGTTTTAAATAAAAACACCAGAACTTGGGTAGTAACATCTTCCAAAAGTATGCATAATCATGAACTACTTATTCCATCTCAAATCCATTGTCTTCCTCAACATCGGTACCTCAATACAGAGCAAAAAGAGTTGGTTCATATAATGCTTAAAAGTGGGGCATCAACTCAATCAATTGCTGATGTGATATACTGGAAACAAGGTACTGTATATACAAAAGATATAATTAATGAACATGACTGAATAAAAAATGCTTTAAATGAGGGCACAAATCATGACACTACAATGCGCCTTATAAAAATGTTAGAGGAACATCAATATATACTTCATCATCTATTAATAAAAAATAGCCATATGTTAAACTTATTTTTCACATATATTGAAGCTGTACATCAAGTAGCTATATGTCCAGAGGTGCTTATAATCAATGCAACATATAAGATAAACTTATATAAGTTACCTCTCATCAATGCAGTTGGTATAAGTAATATCGGTAATGCTAAAGCTCTTAACACGTATCAAATAGCAATGGCATGGGTAGCAAATGAGCAAGAACCCACATACGAATGGTTTTTATTTATTTTAAAAGAGACAATTTATGACATTTTTTTTGTTCCCCAGAAGTATTTGTTTCAGACAGGGCTTTGGCCTTTAGAAAAGCAGCAGACAAGGTTTTTTCAGAGACAAAAAAAATGATATGCATTTGGCATATACTTATGCAAAACTTATGAACCACATGTAGAAAATTTTTTGATTCAGATGAAGAGTATAATGAATTCCTGTTGACGGTCCAGAAAGTTGCCTATGCTGAAGAAATGAATGAAGTTGAAAAAGCATTTAAAGAAGTTAGTCAAACGATAATGAAAAGTAGGGACCCTGAATATATTCAAAATTATCTTGAAGAATGGAAAAAAGATACAAAGTGTTGGATGCATGTTTTTACAAAGAATTATTTACATATGGGAACTCAGTCGACACAGAGAGTGGAAGGAAGTCACAGCACTTTAAAAAAGGCAATAGAAGCATCAAGTGGTTTGGAGCAAGTATTTTTACATATTGATTGTGCCTTTCGTCAATGCCAACTACAAACGAATGGAGCCCTAGACTCGAATATTGTTTCTGCTGATCCATTTATACATAATGACAAAAGGTTTGAATTATTGCTTGGAAAAATTTCTAGATGGGCGATTGATAGAATCTAAAAAGAAGTATATAAAATTGATGAGAATAAGAATGTGAATAATAGCCCTTATAATTGTAGCTTGAGATTGAATTATAAATTACTATGTCGTCACATCATTCCACCAACAGGACCTGTTCTACTTAATCTCGTACATAAATGCTGGCATCTAAAACATGATTCTGTATCTTCAATACCATTATCATTGTTAATTGATATAACTATTAGTAAAGTTCTTTACAAGCTCAAAGAAAAATATGAACATCTTAATGATAGTGGGTCGAAAGCCACATTCTTGCATAAGCTTGAAGCACTAGTTACGAAGAAATTTCAATCCCAAAGGCACCATTATATAATGTGTCTACTTTGCCTAAAAGACATCTACAATCTATTAAGCGAAACCCTCTTCTTAGCGAATATCAAGAAAAAGTAGCCAAAGAAAAATCAAAAAAAGAAAAAAAGGAAAAAAATACAAAAAAACTGGAGACAAAACTTGTAGAAGTTCTACAACAGTCGTAACAACCTTTATTTTACAATCAGATACCTATTTTTATGCATAAATATATAAAAAAAGTGGTTAATATAGATGAAGATGGAAATTGTAAGTACAGAGCAGTGGCCGTGGGTTTAGGAAGAAATGAAAATAAATGGCCAAATATAAGAAAGAAATTGTTTGAAGAATTAAATAAAAATGAGCCTTTTTACTGATCATTGTTTCTTGCAAATGATGATTATGATATGATTTTAAAAGAAATTTCTTAGAAGAGCAGCCTTTGCACATTCGATCACTGGATGAAAATGCCACAAATGGGTAATGTTATAGCAAATGCTTACAAAAGACCCTTATACTTCTTCTTACTACAAATCAGCCTTACCTTTCTTCCATATCACCATCCATTGAACTGAAATAAAGCACTTGCAATCGCTTTTGTTAATTAAAATCATTATGTAGCTATGGTATTGAAACCTGGTGCACCTGTTTCTCCAATTGTTAATCAGTAGACACAATTCTCCACTTTAGCTACAGCATGATGGAAGTTATTAATCCAAGATCGTATTGCTCAATTTCTCTTAGTAAGTGGTTCAACTAGTAAAACAGATACAGAAAGTAAATAATAGTGCATAGATTTAAGCGAGATCTATTAAATGCAATACTTAAATTTAGAAAATAGATGTATTGATCGATAATAAATTTTTCATTTTGTTCGCATAAAGTTGCATCATACCAAGTTATATGATAACACTGTCCCTAAAGTATCATATGATCATGCACTGTCCACACTGTTCCTAAGAAATGTTCATAGATTTCACAATATGGCAAAGATCCCATATCACTCATGGATTACGTGTTTCGGGTCTAACAATATTGTGATACTGGAATATCATAACTGATCATATGAAAAATGCATGAAATGCAAAAAGTGCAATAAGTTACATTTGTGATCAGGGCATAAGTATAGATGGGTGTCTAAATCATTTTTTCATTGGTGTAAACTTAAATGGCTAAATTATTTTAGATTGACTAAATCGTAAATAATTTAGGTTGCCGAATATATTTTAGAATGTCTAAAATATTTTAGTATGTCTAAAATATTTTCACTAGTCTAAAATATTTGAATAATGAAAATTAAATATTCTTACAGTTTAGTATATTAAAAACCTATTAAATTACATTGAATAAACTTCAAAATCTGACTAATATATAAATATTATTTTTTGGCTAAGATAATCAATATTTTCCAGATTAAAGTTCATATTTATAACAAATTTATATATGCATTGAAATGCAGTAAGAATAGAGAAAAATGGGCTATTCTACTAAGAAAATATTCAAAAATTTTCCTAAGATTTGGCATTGATTTATTAACATGTAATTTGATAATTAAAATTTAAATTTGAAAACCAAATACTTAAATTTGGTAACCAAATTTTAGTTTTTATTAATTTACTTTGATAGAAAATTAAGTTATCATAAAATTTTAGTTATAATAGTAAAACAATGTATATTATTTATATATAATAAATGAAGATACAAGATAAGTGAATATAAAAAATATATATAATATTTCATCATAATAATATATATATGCTAAATGATAGTTACATAAATCCTAAAAAAACTTCATAGAGATATGGGTCCCATAGTTTAGTGGTTAAGCTTTCATACCTTCTACAATCAAAGTCAACAGTTCAAGTTTGGCTGGAGGCAAAATTGAAAGATTTGGTTTTTGTAACCTAATAAGAAGCCTGTAATTGAATGCAAAGTTCTGTGATTAAGTCTAAATGCAATACAATAATAGAAATAGGAATTCCTAAAAATAGACACAATCATGAAGTGCAGGCACTATATATAACAAGCAGTTGTTACAGAAGATTACAGTTATAAAAAGATTATGCATATAAGTCCTTTAGACTAGAGCAATACCAACATCCTTATACCTCCTAATATAGTCAGTATCAACATCCCTGTACCCAACTTGTGGAGTACTTGTTTGGAAGAATAATCAATAGATTGTACAAATAAGTCTTAATTAGAATTCAAGAAGAGGATTTAATTGAGAGAGTATTCTAAAAATAACCAAGACTGGAATAATAAGAGAAGCAGTAAATACGAGGACAGACTGTGATAAAGAATTGGTCTAACCAAAAATTGAAAGCATTTCTGACATAGCTGAATAATTTAATTATAGAAGAGAAAAATCTTGAAAGTTAGTATATAACTTTCTTGTGCAATATAAAAATATCAAATCAGGGTTTTGGTCATACTTATATAGAAGTCTATGATGAACAAGACTGGGATCAATCAATTAATATGAGATAAGATCTGCAAGATAGTATGGCATCACTAGGATCAGTATAACTTCCTGGGGCATAACCAGAATTGTCTTGCAGGTATTATTAAATAAGCTGAGAGTTTGCAATATATAGTAGTATAGTATCACTGGAGTTGAAGGAACTCCCTAGGTATAACTAGAATTGTCCTGTTTGTAATCACAAGTCTCAGTCTTCATCATAAAAAGGAGCACCATATTGAAGATTAAATACAGTATTGAGTTATTGAATGATATTAAGACCTGGAACATCTACAGAAACAGTGACAGCAGACCTGGCTTGAGATACAGATTGGTCAAAAAGATCAATGGCGTCAGCAGATCTGACTTGAGATATGGGTTCTTTGCAGATCCTAAACCATTGTCGGAACATCTTAGAAGAATCAATAACAGGCATACCAAAGATGAAAAGATCATAAGGATCAAACATACCTGAGTAGGACCAATTTAGGAGTAATACAATAACAAAAAGATGAGAAATATGAAGAACAAGATAATACTAGATATAGTTAGATTAAGAGATAAAAAAAACAAGACTAGGTAAAACATATTAGTAGAACATATAGGTATAATTTACAGAAGACAGTACCCCTGACATTTGGAATACCATATTAAGTTCAGTAAGTATTCTTGTCTGTGTAGCAGTTTAATGGTATGCCCTAACTGCAAGTAGTTGTTAAGATAACTGCATGTAGGCATGTGGCAGACATTCACTTAGGTGCTTTATGGGTAATTGAATAAAGTTAGCAGTGTAAAATTAGATAATATATAGTACTAGTAATAATCAATCCTAAAAAAATATAACTAAATTTGTATTATATCAAATTAAAGCTAATAAATCAACTGGCATTGTCACCAAAGTTCAAAAAAAAAAAAAACTTCATATATCCTTACTCATAGATGCATTAATAACTTGATCAATATTATAATCATATTCATTATCTTCAAGTTCTAAATTATTATAAGTTATTTTATTTGTTTGTTTATTCAAAAATGTACTGAAATCTAACATTTCTTCAATTTCCAAATTTTTGCTATTGAATTGTAAAAGATCATCTAAGTTCTTAGTATTAGAAATATAATTAGCATTAAGCTCTTTATCTTCAATATTATCATTAAATATATCATTATCAAACCAATCATATTTGTATAATTTTTCATAACTTGTTCATTCAGGAATTGTGTAATTAATATATTAAGTTCATTTTGAGCATTAGTTATATAATAAGTATGCAATTTTGCAATATTTAATACTTTTTTTACAGTAATTCTGTTAAAATATAAAATTAAAATAATCATAAATATTGAAATTAAATGTGTATTATAAAAAAAAAAAAACTAATTTTTAGATTTTTATTTTGTAGTATATATGTAGTTTAAATTTTGCATATTATATCTTACTTTTACAAAGTTAATTTTGAGAATTAGTATTATTTTGAAGGTATATATATAGAAAATTACAATATTTATTTACACAGTAGCTTTCAATATGATGGACTATTAATATAACAAATATTGTTTAGTACAAAGGATTATAATAAAACAAATTATAATTTAATTTAATATTTAATATATTACAAAAATTTGATATTATGGAGTTCTTGATATAACAAAATGAAGAACTTAAACTATAGCCTTTATTATATTGAGAACTACTGTGTATATTAAATTTTTTTATTAAAAAAACTACTATATAATTCTATGATTGAACAATCAAGTGATTGTACATATGAGCTGCACAATTTGATCAAATAAACACAGGTCAAATGAATAAATAAAGAGTAAATAATAGGTAAATAATAGAAAAAAAATCTGCTATTATTCTATCCTATATCTGTCAAATAATGTTAGCATAACAGCAGCATAACAGCAGAATAATAGTAAAATAACAGAAGGTTTGTTGATATGAGTAATATAATAGTAACAAAATAGCAAAATAATAAAACAGTTCTATTATTTTACTTTTAGTTACAAAGACTAAAAGTAAAATAATAGAACTGTTTT